CCTATAAATTAGTCGTAGTAACACTACAACTTCCTGGTATGTTTTTTTTTTTTTTTTAATTGTGACTCATAATTGCAGCTACTACTTAAATTCTTAAGGAAATTTAGAGAAAGCTGCTTACTAAGGTTTCATGTGACAAAAATGCAAATCATCATTTGACATTACTAAAATAAAATCAAGGGGGCAAGCTGTCCTCCTGTTGTGTTAGATGATTTGTTTGTGTTTTGTTCTTGATATTTTACTCACCATTAATTCAATTGCAATTGCTAAGTCATATTTGTATTCAAACTATAGTCAAAGTCTTTCCCAAAGTCTTTTTTTCTAGATTTTAAAGACATCAATTTTTTCTCATAAAACAAACATCTGCAATACTATTCTTCTCTTTATGAGAAAAGAAAATGGTGTTTTCTGAATTGCTTTGGTCTTTATTGCCATACCACCAGCATTCACCTCTGACACTGTGGGCCAACATAATAAAATGGAAGGTATTAATACTGGAGTGGCTGTTGTACACAAACAGTCCTATTGGAGACAATGGGATAAGTCAGTAGAAAATCTACATTGGTTTTGGAAATGTTGCCATCTTATTAAAGATTGTAAGGGGAAGCGTTACCATTTTCACACAGACAATTGCATTAGGAATGCAAGCAAAAAAACAATCTCATCACTGCCAATAGAAATTCCAGAGATGCATCTTCGTATTCAATTTCTTGACTTTCATTTGAAAAATCCCAGGTTTACATTACGAGTACTAAGCCTGGAAAAAGCACACAACCTCACACTGCTTCTATTCTGAAGGAACTGACATTTTGAGCTGGGCTAAGAGCTAACATTTATGTTGTATCTACTAGGATCATGTCCCATGTAGATTACAGAGTATCCCATGAAATACCTTAAGGAATCAATTTTGGTCATGCTTTTAGGATTATATGATAGCCTGATCTGAAATACATATTCACAGAGGTAATTATGGTTTTATGGCCAGTGCATAATTAAGCTAATATTCAATACATGCACAATTATTCAAATCATATATATATTTCAAAATTTCTCTAACTTATTTTAATGTAATAGGCTGCTTGATCGAGGATTTTCCATACCTGTACCCATATTGGTATTTAAAATTTTATTAAATCACTCATAGCTTTGTTAAGCTTTAAAAAATAAGTTATTTCAAATCACTGACTAGATAAACAATTGTCCTCTTTTTGTGCACACACTAAGTGCTAAGGTCAGATTAATTAGCTGGACACTGTATTCTTGTGACTGCAGAGAGAAAACTGGCAATGGAGTTTGCTTCTCTGTCTTTTTCTACCACATTCTCACTCACTACATCTGAATTACTGGCCACATTCAATTCAACAATATTTTTACATGCTTCATTGTTGCTAAGTATTGTTAAGTATTGCACTATGAGATAGCAAATATATATATATATTTTTTTTTCCAGGGGATCCATTGAACAGATATATCCTTGAGGAGATAAAAACAGGTCAGCTATTTCAGTAGGAAGCAACTCCAGATGTAATTCCTCCATGAATTATATACACAGATATGAACTCAAAGACACACTTAACTGCTCTGGCATTTATAAAAGACAAGGCAGCAAACTGAAGAAGCTAATTTTCTATAGCAACAATACTATGACACGGAGTTGCAGTTATGTTGTACGGACTTGATTTAATTCCTTAAAAAGGTTTCTTTCCATTTCAGTTGATTTTTTGGTTATTCTTTTTTCTAAGTCTTGTCACATATATTGTATTTAAAACAATCTTTACAGAGTGTGGCAGAAAGAGAAACGGGAGAAATTGTTCTATATGATGTAAAATACAGCAAGTCTTGCATTGTTCTCAATTTATGAAAGTCTCCTGTAATACAGGAAATAGTAAAAATAGGATCTCAAATAAATTAAACATATTCATTAGTAATTCTTTAATGGATTAAATGAATTTATTTCATTTGCCAGAGAGACAAATACAGTGCAGTACATCTTAATTGAAAAAAAAAAATATAACCATAAAATTAGTTAGTAGTTTAAATAGACATTTTGCCAAACAAGAATAGAGACAAGGAATGATCATTATGTATTTTTTTTTAGTATCAAACTGCAGTGCACACTGACAACTACCAGCATTTTTTCAGCTTAGCTGTTTATCTTGGCTAAGGAGATAGTAATCTAGTCCTCTAAAAGTAATAAGAAAGTTTTCATCACACAGTCATGCATAAGGAATAATTCCAGAGGACATTATGTCCTGTGGGCACTTTTTCCTTGTAGTTTCTCTAACAGTTCATTTTCAGTCTAAGATTATTTCCTACTACTTTATACAGAAATATTGCAATTTCTAGCTGAAATGTCTGTTGAAGCAACAGAAGGTAAGAAATGAAGGCTCTTCTACCACTCCAACTATCTTCCACCAACATATTCAGCTACCAAAGATAATGAAAAAGCATAACACAACCCACAATGTTAGACTCTTTCTAAGGTTAGCAATTCTTTTTGATGTGAAAAGGTCTGCCACAAAATCAAGAACAAATCTGGAGAGGAAACACTTGGAACTCAAAGGAGTCGCCAGTTCTCAATTTGCAATCATCCACAGTTAGTTTCAATGGTGAACAAGAAGCTTAACTACAACATGTCTTTCTCAACCTACAGTAATATTCTTAAACATAACTATTATTCTGTCATTTGTGAATGCTATCTCCAGCTGTAAGGGATGAAACAAGAGTGGGGTGGACAAGATTAGAAAAGAGTTGAAGGTCAGAAGGGAAGAAAAAACGAATTTAAGCAAGAAAAACTTGTATATGATATTTGCTTTGAAGCTAAACACATTTCCTAAAGAGTAACACACTACTTATTGAGTGAGTGGAGGCCAGAGAGACAGTAGGCCACATTTAGGACTGTATTTGCGAGATGGCAAATAGAACATTCCTGTGACATTTCTTTTACCTCAACTGTGATTAGTAAAACTTATTTATTTGTTTCTGTCAGTTTGTGTTAAGTCATTGCTGAAGAAAAAGCAAACAATCTGCTTTATTTGCTTCATAAATATAATTATAAACTTGCTAGAACCAGGTTACCCACAAATTAACATGACAGCTACATTCACTTTCACATGGATTATTTATGAGGAAACCTCCATAGTATATAGCTACTGATAGGACCAGGTGTTGCTGCAGAAGCCAACTGAGTTGCTATAGTGACAGACCATAAGAGCAGTCTTAAAGATATGATAAATGATGAACATCTTGTAATTCGCAAGCCAGCAAAGTTTGGCATATAAGAAATATTGGTAACATCTGCAAACATAGCTTTTCATATGGGTAGAGGTGGGTATAGTGTACCAGGTTCCACATTAAGCTAATAGGCTCCCTATGCTCTCTTACTCTCATGAACACTGCAAAGCTCACCATGTCCATGTGATAACTGAATTACTCTTTTCCTCCTTGCAGATCCTTTTCTCTAAGCACTGGACTTAACAATGCCTACAAGATGATTCTTCTCCGTATCTTTGGAGTTTGCAATATATGCTATTTGTGGCAGATTTTAAATAGTTAAAATTTATTCACCTTTTCAGATCTCCAAGCATCCATGGAAACTGGTGGCAGATTTTCCAAATAAATAATACAACATAAACCTATTTTATCCATCAGTTAGCAGTTCCAGACTAAACAAAACAAAAGATTCCAAGCCTCCAACACTGTAGGAAGGGAAAGAGTATGAAAGTTTTGCTAAAGCTTTTAGTAAAAGCTGTGTAGATTTATCTTAACAATGTCAGAACTTGGTGCATGGATGTTCCGTCCATTGATATGTACACATATAATATAAGGTGTGGGAATTATAAGGCTAAGGAACAAGGAGAAAAATAAAATATTCTTACAACTTTTGCAGTAACAATATTAAGAGAACAAGGTGATGTTTAGACAATGACAGTGTCAATTTTTTAGCTTACAAAAAAGTGTCAAATTTTTAGCTTTAAGAAAGCTACAGCCCCTGTATAGAAAGCATGAAGCCCTGATAATTGAGTCAAACAATATCTTATCGCTAGGAAAGCCTCATTTTTTAAACAGTGTTAGCTGAAACAGGGACACCCAAGCAGTTTATTCATATTCTGAGATGGTGAAGTATTTTAGGCTAAAAATTAATCTTAGAAATGTCCTTCTTCATTACTTCTGTAAGTCACTTGTGTTGTTTCCCAACCCTTTATCCTTTCTGTATTTTTTGGTAGAAAAACAAAACGTAAGTAGAAATGGTTACAGTTTTCTTCTTCCTTCAAATTATGCATTCTTTCCATGACTAGAAACATCTCTGGTATTCAGTAGCATAAAGAAAAAGTAGTATCAAGCACTGAAAATTTTAATAATTACTTCTCTTAATAAAAACATAATTTGTTACTTCAGAACATGGTGTGGAATGGCTACTAGAAAGGAAGTTGTCCACAAAATGACTGCATTTTAATGACTTGAAAAGCAGGCATACACGACTTTGCTGCAGGCTGCTTCAAGTAAACCTTTCACAGTGGTGAGCTGCATCTTCTGTAATATGAATGCTTATACAAAAAGTATCACACCGCTCCTAACTCCTGCATCACGTGTGCAATCTGACTGGCTGACAAGGGAAGAAAAGTATAACTGTATTAAACCTCAACAGCACTAGTACAGTTTCATTCTACCAAAGGCATCTTCGTAACACTGAAAGCTGCACTGTATTAAAATAATTGCCTCACAAGAAAAGAGGAGGAAGAACTTTGGCTGAACAGTGAGCAAAAAAATTTGAGGCTGCGCTCCTCATAATGTTGCATGTTTTACAACCAGTCTTTTAATGATTGTTTCACAGCAGCCTAACTGTATCAACAGTGAGAAATGAAGTAATGCATGCAACTCTCTTCTTCAGAACTGTCTTTAACAAGTTACCTTCTAGCTCTATCATCATGACAACAGCTACAAGTTGCCATCAGCTACATATTTCTCCCCACTTCAACACTCAGAACAAGTGCAATTACCTCAGTCTCTAATGATGTCCTCTTCCAGCAAACTGCTTTTGCAAAGCCATGTATATATGCTATGCATATCCATAGACAGCATAAAACCTTTCCACTTATTTCTTGCAGTGTGGTTGCTCTCATAGTTTCATGTGTTGGTTCACAGTTTTGTGTTGGTTGGGTCCTCCTTCTGATGATACCAGTCACCTTGCTGTACAATTCACTGTCATCATTGGCAAATTGCTATCTCTCAGAGGTCCAGTAACGTCATAATGTCCTGTCAATAAAAGAAAAATCCAAAGAAATCTCAGTATTACATCTCTGTTGACACACTACTTGTAAAGGACAAACTCACTCAGTGGTATGGCCTACTGATTTATGTCATCTTGCAGCATGCCAGTCTTACCTAGGTTTCTATTTTTTTTCTTATAATTTAGTCCCTAGATGTCATCAGAGAATAAATGCAGGGGTATCCCCATCACAACCACTGACCATACTTAGGGGGAAGTGCTATGATGTACTATTTTGTATTACACAGTACAAGGACTCAGTGTATTCTGAAAGCTCATTAAATAATTGAAAATGGACTGCTTTCTATCTCAGTATCTCTCTTCCAGTCACTGGAATATTCATGTTCTCTACTTTCCTCTCTAAATTCTGTTAATTTTATATGAAGTCTCACATAAAGCACTCAATGATCATATGAAGAGAAAACTGAAAAGTCTCCTTTTTTCATTTCCATCAATCGGAAAGGAATAGAAAAAAGAGAGACTGTTAACTGAAACAACCGAGTATACTACAACTTATCAAAGCAGAGAAAGTCTTATAAGCCTAGAAACTTGTGGCCTTGTAGCGCACTACGCAAAGGCAATGCAAGAAATCTCCTAGACTTCTCAAAAGATCCACCATGAAGTTTTATGTGGCTTAAATATTCAGGGAATATTTAGTTCCAGACAAAACCAAACATGAAAAGCATTGAACATCATAAAGAAAAGCAAGTGAATTGTTAATGCTATATGAAAATGTTATTTACAAAGGCAAAACATAAATATGCTTATAATCAGAAAGACATTTTTTTGCACATTACCAATTTTCAGCTTTCCAATTTTTAATACTCTCCAATCAGATGTATTTAAAGCAGGCTGACTCTGGTTTTGAATATAAATATATACATATACATAAATATATAAAATATATTATGCATAATATATATATATATTATACATATACATAAATATATATAATAAATGCATATACATAAATATATAAATATATTATATACATATACATAAATATATAAATATATATCAAAGCACTATTTTCTCAAATTCCTCATGGGATGTTCATTCAGAACACTTTGCATAGTTCCTCATAATGACCTTCTGTCTGGTTAAAAAGAGAAAAAAAAAATCAGTTAATTTGAATATTTTCTTACTGAAATCGTACTTCCATGAAAATACTTCATAAACATTTTCACTATTTTACTTCAACATTTCTATTCATTTTTTTTCATACTGAAACTAAAATCCATTTCTCTGATTTTATTATCTGTTCCTTTGTCTGCTAACTGAGGAGGACATGGTGAGCAGCATTTTGTTTCTATATAATTGTCATGAAGGACATGAGCAGCATACTCACTCATCTGTGATACAGCATTTGCTCTCTAGATACAAAAACATGTTTTCAGTAAAATATCTACTTTGCTAGGAATTGAAAGTCCATAATGTTTTAGCATATATTTCATAGTTTGAATTGGAAAATGCACCATTCATAGTCTGAGAATTTCTGAAAGCAATTAAATGTTAAACTCACTTTTTAAATGCTTAAAATATATCTTTTTTTGTTTGCTGAAGCTGTTTTGTGTGCTATTTAAACACCAGATTCTTGACATCTTTCTCTTCTTTTACAAAAGAATTCAACACAAAAGAGGCTCCAGTCATCATTCCTCCAAATTTAAAAAGAATATAAAAATATATATATTAAAAAAAAACAACAGCACTCACTTGTAAATGGATTTTAGATTTGTAATTATTATTTTTTTTTTTAATAAATGTGATAAAATATTTTCCTCCTTTAGAAATACTCAGAGATTTTATTTCAATGTTTGACAACAGAGGTAAAATGTTTTGTTCTTACCAGGAGCTTTTAATTGATCTTTTCAAGCTTATTTTCAGTTTTTGTTTTAAAAATATAGCTATTGAAGTTATTTCTGTAGCCATAAGACTTGAAGAAATCATCAAAGATGAAAGAATACAAGTAACACATTCGGATAACTTCTGTGAAGTTTTCTTTGTCAGAATCCTCTAATAATTTTTACTGCAGTTCTTCTAGCTTGTGATAATACAGTGTATGTCTCTATTCTTTTCAAACTCAGAAAGATGTCCATTTTGAAGTCACAGTTCATATTACGACATCATAATCCAGTTTTTTTATAATTCCTCTCTGTGATCCGTGTGGCAACATTATGACACTGTATATTTGAAAAGAGCAGCTTGAAGACCTGCAAAGTAATTTGCTGTTATGTCAAGTGGCTTCTCTAACAATGTCCTAAAACTAAACGAGATCATTTTACACTGCCCATGCAAAGCACATACACTGGAATTTAGAAATGCATAAAAAAGCCCAAACACAAATTCTTCTTTCTAGGTTTCCTTAAGTGTGCCTTAAAGAAATCTAAATGTAAGACTAATGCTAACATTTAGCCTTTCAATTGCAACTATGGTTTTTTAGGATACAACAAATTGTCATTGTGATGGTGTTCTGTTTCCAGAACTAGAAAGTAGATAGAGAAAACAACCACTGTAAAACATTGAATGAATTCTTCAATTAGATCTTTATCACTGAACAATGACCTTCACATGAATACTCTTATAAATCTTTACTTTCAGGCAAAGCAATGCTACCCATCTTGTATACTGCATTCTTCACACACCAGGAGCCAAAATAGTACAAAAATTAAATACACAAAGTAATAACTGTAGAATATGATAGATCATTCACATAGACAGAACATAAATGTTTTATTGTGGGTACAGCAAATGTATATAACATGGCCTCCATATGCTATCCTTCCTCCTGTTCTTTGAGTCAGTTACTAGAAAAAGAGTCTCTTTCTCTGAGTGCAGAAAAGCAAAGATATAACAAATACTTAAGATTATTTGTCCTATTTCAGTGCAAATGACTTATGCATTAAATGGAGAAAAAAGCAATTGGTTGCATTCTTCTGTAAAGCCTGTCATTTGTACAAGTTCAGTTCTGTAGAAGCTGAAGTTGAGCATTAGGTGGAGTTATTAATTGGAGAATTTAGAGTATTGGCATTAGATTCAGATGAATTTTTAACTGATCCAAAGAGATTTCTTCCAAGCGCTTTTCTCCTTAGATCCTGGATAGAATTTAGAAGCATTATACTGTGATAATTCTAAGACATCCACATCTTTAAAAAATGCAGCAATGCCTTCATGACCATGCTTCTTCAGAAACAAACAAAATAGACAGCACAAACTCTTTTGTTTTTGTTTCTGAAATAAAACAATGTTACAGTGAAGAAGCATGGTAATTATTCCAATTAATTTTATAGAGCAAGGGATTTTATTTTTTTTAAATTACCAATCAGTGTGAAGATCAAGGAAGAAACACCCCTCCGGAAACAAATACATTTTGAGAAACAGCAGGAAAATACTGGAGCATTTCCACACAATTATTTGAAATACTTTCTGTATTGTCAAAGATCAGCTTACAACAAAGAGGCTCAAAAGTGATTCTTACAGAAAACCTGGCTGGAAAATACTGAGAATTATTTAAAAAAAAAATGCAGAAGAAGAAAGAAGAAGAAAGAAAAGGCATAATAGATATTTTCTAAGTCAATGGAAGCCTGATGAGAAACACAATTAAAATCTAGTAAAATGAAATCTCTGTAATATTTATTAAAAATAATTCAGCTAAACAAACTCAAATCATTTCTCACACAGTCACTTTCAGAACACCAAATCATAATTCAAAATCAGATAATTAGAATATACTTACTCAGATTATGCTTATGCATCACTATTATACAAATCCTCTTGATCCAGAAGCTTTACAAGTATTTTTGACCCTCTAGCTTAAAAGAAAACCCATTTTTTGACAGCTTCAGTTAAGGAATTCATGAAATTGATTGTATGCCGTTCTATATACAGTAGTCAGTTGGGAGTCAAATGCCTATCCACATAGTTCATAATGGTTTACTATCGCAGTTCAATAAACAAAGAAATTATACAAGAGAGGTAGATATTCCGTATGAACACTATTTCAGTACAACAGACACGAAGGACTTGAATCAGTAAGGATGCCATCATAGTTTCACAAGGAGTTTGAGATGAGTAGCAGCACAAGCAGTACTCAAGGAAACACACACTGCTCCTGATACTAGGCAAAGTAACAGTGTATGTGAGTACATGTAAGGCCAGAATCATGCTAATCCTCTTCCTAACTTAACTTCGAATGAAGAAAAGGCACTCAGAACTACATCCGGATCAGGAGTTTGGAACGTAGAGGGGACAGCTATAAAGCGATGCATCTACACATAATTGCATTTAGAAAGAGGTTTACAGAGGTAAAAATTATTAGCAAATGAAGAAAAAATAAAAGCAAAACTGAACAATGAAGAAGCTGTTTTACACTTACTAACAACTTCACGGCCCTGACTGACTGCAAAAATTTCTTAACATCCTCTACTGTATTATTTATCCAAATTTAGTATAAAAAACACACAGGCACACTTTTTTCAGACTGCAATCAACCATGAGGAAAGACTTGAATCTGGAGAACTAAACAAGTAGACTTTTTCCAAATTTGTGTGGATAGTTTTATTAATGCCGCTGTAGATCCATTATGCTAATCCAGTTTAGAAGTTAATACAACATTTTAGGAACTTGACTTCTGAGATTCATGCCTTTGCTTATTTACTCATTAAATTGTGAAAAGTTATCTTGCATGAGACATAAACTGAACTCAGTTTCTTCTCGACTTCTGTGGAACCTGGCCAGTTGATGTCAATCAGAAGCCAATCAATGCAAATTTGCATAGTACACCAAAGTAAACAATGGCTGCTTAGAGTTTAGGTTTTTCAGTCTCCTCTACATCAAGGACTACAGCCTTTAAAAGTAGCTGCTCGAACTATACAACTTAACTTATTATCATTTTAACCCATGGCCTCTGTGTCAATATATGACTTCAGAACTTTCGTGACTGATGTTTGACAAAGTCCTGTTTAGAGAAATCAAGTTGCCAAAATTCAGAAACAGAAGATATTTGTTAACTGCAGATCTCAGCCTATCATGAGATGGGAATTAATTGATTGATGGCTTAAAATGGAAAACGCCTATCTGAATCATTACGTATAATGCAGCAATAAATATAATCCTATTGCAAAGAATTGGTTTATGCATGGAGCCTTCTTAGGTATTATCTTATAGAATACAGTTCAGTTAACAAATTTACATATTTCTATAAAGCATGACATGCTGTTTCTGTATTTAAATTTTTGAGAATCATGGCTAAAGGTGATCTGAACAAACAGTTGAGAACTAGAGCAGTAATTACTGGAACCAAAGAGCTGTGGAATGATTAGGGATAAATAAAATAAGTCAGTTTCTGGTAGAAAATGTCACAAAGTTTCTTAAGAAGAATTTTAAATTAATTGAGATTGCAGTATTATAGGGATTAATGATCCATTAACGTCTATCATTTATAATCATAATTAAGTTTACTACTTCAAGTTATGTAAAATAGTAGTATATTTGATACAACATCATGAAGATGTAGTACCAAACTATTTCATTTAACTATTCATTATCAGCAGGAACACTAAGCTTCCTTGCTACCTTGTTAAGTAACAGCCTTCAGGACTTATAGTTCTGCCTCTTCCCTGCCCTTTCTATAATCATGTATTCAATTATAATCCATGAATAATGAATAAAGCATATAACCCTTAGGGTGTAAAGCCCACTCTTACGGTCTTTTCCTTTTTAAAATAGCATCTAAATTAATCTTCACTTCTCCACTTCTAAACCTTCACCAACACAGCAGCCCCAGCTGTTCTCCATGTGAAGCTAACATATCTTTCATGTGGGTCATACAGACTCTGGTGCTCATTTCTTCTACAATTGCTAAGTGATCAAGATTATGATGCCAGAACAGAGATTGATAAGTGTACTGGACAAAAAAATTATCTCATGCAGGTACAAATAAGTTACAAAGCAAAAACAAACAAACAAACAAACAAGAAAATAAAATACAAGTTTTCTTGTCCACTCATCCACTTGCATTCTCTTAAAAACATTGCCAAGGCTTTCTGGGATCTTTGCAGTGGCTGGGAGGAGCAGTGGCCTGGCTATTTGTTGTATTTGTCTGTTTGCTTTTGACTTGTTTTTTAATATTTTTATTTCATCCTCCAAATGCACTTAACTGTGATGTTCACTTAATGCCCAGTGCTCAATCCTCCTGAATCTTCCTGTATCCTTGACTGTAACAAGTAGGGATTATCGACTGCAAGAATAACTTACTCTGTTATGTGAAGAAGCAAATGGAGGTACATAGTAACACATAACATAATATCTTCTTTTGGATTTCACTCTCAAAAGTGAGGAAACACTACCATTAAAAGTTTTGTTTGGCTGATGTTGACTTCAGCACAACCTTCAGAAGCAAAGCAAGTGCTCAGGCCCATCAAGGATAGCAGCAGAAATATGCTAGCGATATTTGTATACCTTCAAAAACAGGACTTGATAATGTATTACAATAAGTATAATTTTCCGTGGGACAGTAGCATTCACATTTCTGACTCAGCTACCATGATCTGATGTTTGGACAGGATCACATTACCATTGCCTCTGGTAATACAGTTCACACAGTTCAAGTATGCATATATTTTTATAGTAATACTTGAATTATCTCATAAGAATAATTCCTGTAGTCTTCAAGGAAAGTAAAGCTAATGAAAATGAACTGGCTGTAGATGACTTAAAAGTAATCTGGGGAAAAAAAAAAAAAAATCACAAATAAATCCCTTGATTTGCTTATGAAAAAGAAACCAAGATACTTCTGAAGTTTAGAAACTGTATTTCATTTGTAGAATTCCTCAAAAATGCAGTACCTAATCTGACCTGTTGTGTGACTAACATTAACATATGATTTGCATGCAGATCCTTGTTCTGATTCAGCAAGCCTGAATTCAGACATGCCTTTAAAAAAGCAAACTTCAACTACGTTGAATTTACAAATCTAAAAAATGTATCTTGAATTTCCAAAGAGATTGTTATTTCTAGAAGATTCTGGAATTACTGTTTTTCATCTTGAATAGAAATCCTGCTATATCAACTTCTGCTGATTTTGCCTGCTTTACTATCACAGGTGACAGACATATCAGTTGTGCAGAAGAACATTCTTTTAAATGCTTCCAGACATTATAATTCTTGTATATCTTTTGTACTGCATTCGACAGTGCAACTACCTTCTAAAATGAAATTCCACTGTCTAAGTATTACTTTAACAATTTAGTTCATGACGTATTTACAGATTTCATTCAGGCCCTCAGTCTGATGATGATGCTTCTTCAAGACCAACATTAAGTGACAATAACTTCACATTATTTCTCTCTCTCCTGTTGCATAACATAGAAGGTTGCAGACAGCTTACTTGAACACTTGGGTTTTTTTAAATCTGATATAATTTCATAGCCATCATATTTTAGACATTAGCCTTACATTCTCCAGAAATTGGATGTCTAACCATCAAAAAAATAAGACAGACATGAATCAATACTGATGGAACAGAGGTTTTTGTTGCATATGCATCTAGTTTCATCTTGTTATTGCAGCAAGACTCACCACTTTTCTCCTGCCACCTTCAGTCACTTGTACTTTTTCCTCTAAACTGCTAGTTTAGAGATAGTAGAAAGTTTTGTTTCTCCTCAGGAGAACAGCAATAAAAAAGCAAAATAAAAATCTTGTTAAGTATCATTCTTCTTGTTTCTATTGTGCTAAGTCACTCTCCACTTCAGAAAAAGCAACAATTATCTTTTCCCAATATCTCATCATTCACGTATTTAAAAAGCAACATATTTCAGATGAGAAATACCCTGGGCACAGCTGGTCGGTGCTGTCATGCAACAATTTACTACGTACCAGAGATACAGCACCATTTTTGCTGCTCTGAAGCTAATCAACAGATGTGCCCAACAGCACAGTTTCCCTAGGAACAGGATTTTCACTAATGAGCAGGAATATTGGTGTGATGCCATGTCCCTTTTTCTCTGAACCTCTATTGCAGAGAACACAATCGGTAAAAAATGGATGAATCTGTGATGTCCTTAAGTTCCAGCAATTTCTATTTGCCAATAAGCAGCATTAAGGCAATGAGCTTTAATTTTCTCTAAATCATGAAGCAAATCAGACTGGTCAATGGCCAATTTTCCAACAAGAGGAGCATGACAGTAGCTAAAAGGTAGCCAGCTCCACCACAGTATGCTGCACTATGCTAGACTTGATACACAGTTACAAAAGCAAACCAAAAGTTTTAAAATTTCCACTAAGACATAATACCTACTAAAAAAAAAAAAAACAACAACAACAACAAAAAACCAACTCCTCAATAAAAAAAAAACAAAAAAACCACACAAGCATCTCTGAGCTTTAATAGAAAACTAAATGCAACTGATGCATTTTACTAGTTCTAAATTACATTTACAGCACTTTTGACTTTTAGACAATATTTGTCTACGGTTTTAAGAACTTAGGAATAGAAAAAGAATGAAATTAATTCTAAGTTACCCTGGGAAGTCTTGCTGGAAGATGAGTGGGGTGAGAAACAATTGACTTATTACAGAGCTTGAAAGAGGGAATTATCACTAAGTTGCCAAAATTTGTGGGCTCACCAGTGCCTACAGGCAATTTATCATAATCCTATTTAAACTCAATATAGATAAATTTGAAGTTATTTCTTTCTTATACAAAGCTAAAAATCAATGGAATTTTGAACTAAATTAATGAAATTGCCCATAGAGGAAGTCGCACAGTTTTAACCAAACACTAAAACTGTTATCAACAAAAGCAATGCACGTGAAAACAATGCTGTATAAATAGAGACTTGTTTGATCAGTTTGTTTTCAATCTGTTCTACTTCCAAATATGTGGTTGAGGACCTGAATGCTATCCTGCTCTTTGAAGTGATTTTGCAACAACTCATTGACATTCATAAGGACATAATTAGACCTCTGCTACTGATTACTTCAGCCTATGCATGTTCTGAAGTACGCTCCCAGTAACCTAACACAATCCTCATTTCTTAAAATAACTGGCTAAAAAATGGATAAACTGTGACTGCACACATCATGTTTATCCACAGTGAAACCTCTGAAATTTCACCTGTAACTAAATTAGGCTGTTAAAATCTAATTGCATTTTGAACGACTATTGCTTATTGGGCTGAATTCTTACAAAGGCTGCCAATCCAGTCCTCCCTCTCCTGATCTACAGCTTTGTATTTCTTCATGCATATATCAAAGTTTGCAGTTTCCAGGAAATCATCATAGATGATGGAATGGTGCAGTAGTGTCCTCTCATTACCTAATTTCCATCCCATATGGCTTGGCAGTAAAGCTCCTCCAGGTCCCGCTGTTATATAGGAGCTTCATTTGAATTACTTCCATTCCAGGTTTCTGGACCCCTTCCTGCCCTTCTTTCCTACACATAATGCCTTCTCCAGACTTTTGTTCTCACTATACTTTACCCCACTGAAGCATAATGGCAATAGCTTCAACACTAATGAGACAGGATGAACAGATGTGGGAGAAAGAGCCACTTGCTGTATGACTAGTAGCCTAAGTTCAGAACAGAGACACAGAATTTACAGTACACTCCAATTTGTGGTGGATGCTCCCAGCAGTTACTTCTCATACCCTTAGGTCTCTGTGAGTAAGTCTGCATTAGAGTGCATCAAGCCAATAGTTCTCATCACTGAGCATGAATTTCTTAGTGCTTTAATTAATTCACCCACAGCATGAGCATCACTGTGTTCGATGCAAAGTCATTCTTGAAGAATTTGGGCAGATAATTACCATCATGAAACAAAGACTAGTGGACTGCCAGAAGCAGTGGTCTAGAAGAACATGGGAAAACAGAAAGGCAGAACATTACCAAGACAGGCAAATTTAATTTCAATTCTTCCTTGCAGATGCGATCATCACAGAAAAGATTGTGTGCATATGGATACGTACACTTTTTACTTTGATAAATGGTTTTGTATATATATATATGTATATATATATATATTTTTTTTTTTCATAGAAAGATATACGTACTATTCATATAAAATTATCTTTAGTAATTTTCATGAGCTTCCCAAAGTCTGTGGGTTGAAAAATGTTTCTTTCCTGTTTTAAGCTTCACCTGGACTTCTCTGCAAAAAAATGCTTCCAATCATAAATTTATTTGTTGGCTTAAGAACACTTTGGGCAGAAAGAAAAAGGGAAGTCATAGTTTTCAATTCCTTTGTTTCTGAAAAACTGGTCTATGTACTCTATGCAGCAAGATCACAAAATCTCAAAATTAAATCACAGCAATAAAATACATAGACACATATCTGACTTGCCCAATAAACGTGCTGTTCCAGATAAATGGGAAATGTGTACAGTCTATTGGAAGGTTTCCTAAATATGAATGGCTTTTTTCCCCTTCTCTCTGAAATCTATAGTAGGACATAGCCTTCAAGCTAGTTCTTGTCACATATCTGCAAGCCCTTTTCCTTTCCTGAATTTCAAGTTTTCCTAATGTCAGGCCAAAGTACTGCAAGCTTTTTGAATTGGACTGCACTTCACATTCAAGCAAATTCCATGTCTTAACAGTGCACTTTTCTAGTACAAGGGATGTTCCAGAAATAATGCTTCCTATTTTATTATGTTGGCTCATGATATCAGAGGCAGATATTTGAAACATAGCAGTAGAAGCTGAACCTTCTCACCAATATTCCATTACATTTTGTTGCTGTGGGACCAGTAGCAGCAGAGGGGTAGTCTGACAAAATGGCATCTAACATGGAAGTGTGTAGGAATCAAAGGGTAGAACTGAATTCCTTCACGCAGAAAAAATTGCACCCACTGATATTCATTGACACTTGATAAGTGTTTATGGAGACCAAACAGTGGATGCAGACACAGTGAGCTGGTGGATAGTACATTTCAGCAGTGGTGACAGTGGGTCACCTCCACCTGGTGCAAATTTTTACGAGCATGGCACACAGATTCTTGTTTGTCTCTGGAGGCATAGCTAATAGTGGTGACTGCATTGAAAACTCGTTTAGTTGCTGAGAATTTGCTCCATTAAATACTGCTGTTGTGCTCTTCATTTTTGTTGCAGATTCCATGGAAATAAATAGGAAGCATTACTTCTGGAGCAATCTCTAAAGACGTTAATATTGCAACAACAACATTCCATTCCCACACCTACCAGAAAAGTTGTTGGTTGAAGCCAGTGATTTATGTATGTTTAGTCAAAGATCTTGCTCAAATCTTGAACGCAGAACAAAGCATAAAAAGCTAAAAAAGTTAAAAGTTAAATTAGATAAATATTACATAGACCATTATCAAGAAACATAACCATAACAGAACACATTAAAATTTTAATTTACAGCATTATTTCAGTCAAATCTTTGTATTGAGACTCAACAGTAGAAAGCTGATGAAAAAAAACGACACCTTAGATCTCAGCTTCAGATTAAATACTTGCACACTGTATATCTTAAGTTAGCATTAACTAGCAGGATATTTAAGAGTATCATCTTCTTTCTGAGGTTTTCTTCTTTGCACAGAAAACTATTTACTGAATGTGTGCCAACCTGATTGCAGGCCAGCTACTGGGACCTCATCTGGAATGTGCTAATTGGAAGGGAACTTGTATACAAGTGTCCCAAAACCCAAATGACTGCCTTGATCAGCAGGCTATGTAATTAGGGTTCTATTTCTGCATTTTCATGATAATTTGGAATTTAGTGGTGCAGTGTTCTCTCCAATAAAGAACAAAAATAAATGTGGGAAACACAATATTGTATCACATGTGGATTCTTTTTTTTCCAGACAAATCTATCCACATTTGCCATTCTGTTGCTTTCAAAATCTTTACTTTTCTTGAAAAATACTCTTGCTTCACTTTCAAAGAACTAGGGCAACATTTTCACCTCGAAGAAATCCAGATATTTATCAGAGAAAGACGAAAAAAATAAAATAGTCACAAACAAAAATGGAGTCTGACTATCATGAGATTTTTAAGACGCTTCTCACAGAAAAATATCCACACAATTTTTGAAATGGTGGATCCTTCAAAAGGTCTGCCATTTCTGATTCACAGTGACAGATTCATGCAGTCTCTTTCTTGCGTTCATTGCTACAGCATAACTGAAAAATGTCTTGGGTTAGAAAGTATCACAAAGATCATCAGGTTCCAACCCCTCTGCCACAGGTGGGGTTGCCAACCACTAGTTCAAGTACCAGATCAAAGCCCAGGATCCATTCAACCAGGCCTTGAACACCTCCAGGGACAGGGCATTTACAACCTCTCTGGAAAGACTGTTCCAACCCCTCACCATCCTCTCAGTGAAAATCACTATCCTGTCAGTGAAAAATCCCAAATACATTTCTAAATAAGGAAAAACAAGTGTCATCTGCCAATTAGCAGAAGTTCTGCTTTACTAGCAATCCATTTTATTCTCTCATAGAGCCCCAGATGTAGGCTGCTCACTTTATTTTGTATTTTTCTCATACCATTTCAACTTAGTTTTATGCACTTCCTTACAATCCTCTATAAAGCTGCTGCAGCCTGTTCACATACTGCACAGTATATATGTGATACGATGGCTTCTGCTGGTGTTCCAGAGGTATTTGTTATTGTCATCATCTCAACACACTGTGCTGTTAATGCAAGCAGTCAACCATTGTTTTTCATGTACATAAATTGTATGCCTAGAGACACCTACTATTATTATTTAATAAAATGACTCTAAAGATAATAATATCTTACATTTATACAAATCTCCCTTCAGCCAAGAATCTAAAAATACTTTGCAAACATATTATTTATATTTTTTTAACTCGAATGTAATGCTACAGATTGTTCTACCTGACACTGAAAAGCAACTACTTGTAGCATGAAATATAACCACTTAACAGTGCAAAGCAGTGCAAAAACAATTTGAATGTGCCTATATGACTGTATCCGTTATAGAAGACAGCATCACAATCATCCGAGTGCAGAAGCGCAGCACAATGACATTAGGAGTTAACAATACAGACCAATATGCTGTGTAACTCTACCAAGAAAATAAGGCTACATCTTTGCTGAACCACAGAAGTAGGTATAAAGGGAAGTCTGAAGCACTGTTTGTAGAAATGGATGAAAGGAACCCAAGAATTATAAAGAGCAGCGTTTAAGGTGCTTAGATGTATTTATACTTACGATTAGATCCAAAAAGCCTAAGCATTCAAACAAGAACAACAAAGCTTGAGTTTTGAGGTCAGTCAAGGAGGCTGGTGAGTAGCTTAGCAAAAAAAAAAAAAAAAAAAAAAAAAAAAAAAAAAAGCAAATGGAAAATATTTTTCTTTTCTCTTTCTAGTTCCCAACTAGAAGAACACCCTTATGCTGAGATAACTTGTTCTCTATTCATTTTTGTGGTCAAACCAGTCTAATGGTTTATGGTAAGTGTATGATTTCCTACATTCACATAATCAGACATACCCCTTACAGGTATTTTAATTTAAAGAGTGAAACTCCATGACAACAACAAGAAACACAATTTCTTTTATAAAAGTGATGTAGTTGAACTGGGAAGAGAAAAGAGTAGAGGTCACGTTATTTCCACAAAACACTATGCAGCAAAGTCACTTGTCTATACTCATCCTCATTTACAGTCATGACTTATTTCTTGATGGGATTTTTGGGATTCAAAGAAAGGACTCCTATTTCTATCTGTACAGTGCCATACTGCATCTTTGAAGATGCTGCTCACCTACGAAATAAATATGGGACTTTGTAAGTTTAATTGTTAAATTAATTTGCAATGCTTTCCACCCAAGCCCCTTCTGCATCTAACCAATAGTAAAAAAAAATATTTTTCTAGATAAAAGAAATTCCAATTAGGACCCTTGAAGTTCTATATACATAAAGGACAGCATATGACACTAAGTTTGTCTCAGTCTGTTTTGATGGAAAAGGTTGTTACAGTATTGGCCCTGTTCTTATCTCTTCAAGACAGTAGCCCAAATTCTCCCCTGTTACAGAAGTCCAATCTCACATTTATTTCAGTGGGTTTCAGTAAAGTAACTGAAAAAAGAATTTGGCCCATAATCACTGACTTTATCATACAACTAGTAAGTGCTTGGCTAAGATTAGATTTCAAGATAGGCCAAGGGGATAATTCAAGGACTTGAGAATCTTTACTGACACCAAAGGCTTCTGCCTTCTGGGAAAACACAAAACCAAGTGCACTTATGGCACTTCCTTGAATGGAGGGAAATTATTAACTAAAATACTAAAAGGTGCTACTCAATCTACTACAATAGGACAAATAAAAGGAGATATTTACGTTCTAGAAAAGAATTCAGCTTTTCATTTTCTAATATTTCCAAAATTTAAATCAAGTTAGGCCTGATTGCCTTCATGACTGGATAGTTTCTTTTGTGGGTCACTGTGTTGTATTAGAAAATCCGTTAGTAAGATACGTGATGAGACTTTTTGGAAATTTGATTTGTTGACTACTGCAACACAAGCAGACTCTTAGAGCCCCATGACCTTCAACACCAAGAGACAGTAAGTTCAAATGCTTTTTGATGATTGAGGATGTAGACTAGTAACCTTATTTCCACTTACCGGTCTTCTTCATTCAACTGAACTCAGGCTTCAAAGTTAGCAAGTCTTGATCCCCAAAAGCAGAAGTCAGTAAGTAAATAAGTAGAAATAACTTGAGTGGATTCCACAGCGATGCTGCTGCTTGCTGCTGACTTAGTGCTTGAGAAAAACAAAACAATAAAATTCTACAGAAAAGGAAGTCAAACACTTCTTCAGTTTGAATTTCCTAGATTCTTTAGTTGTACTTTACCACTTGGTTCAAGTTACTAAATACTACAAGACCAGAAAACCAATTATAATTTGTATTTAGCCTCAATTCAAAGGATAAGAAAGATCATAAGTAGATTGCCAGATTTTAGAAAGATTATTAACATAGCAGATAAACTTACTCAATGAGTAAAACAAGGCCTTGCCAAAAAACCCTAGAAGTCCTAATATAAAGGTATGTGGGAAATTATAAACAGAAGGTTAAACTACAGTCATTTTTCTAATAAAAGTATACTTTATGTCCATAAAAAAATAGAGAAAACACTGAAATCACAGAGAATTAAAATAACTGCCAAGAGTGGCCACTTGTGCAAGCTTTTAGGTAGCAGTTTTTAGTCCTAAATCATAATCCCAGAAAAAAACTCTACCCCAGATATAGGCTGCTTACAATGTTGTTGGAACCTTAAATCTTGCAGAAACCAAAGCCCTGCTTGCCTCACTGCTCTCCAGAGAAGGACTGGGGCTCCATGATCATCCTGACAGCCAAAAGCCTCTTGCTCTCCACTTAATTTACTTCACGCCATACAACACACCTGATACGCCTTTAATAAGAAAACCAGTATGGCCATTAGAGATACCACATGCCAACTTGTTTGTTACTGTCCCTCAGTCAGAGGTGAGCATCTTCTCAGAAGGATGTATCAAAGCTAATTTATAATCAAGCAATTCAGATTAAGTCCTTCATCAGCAGCAGCATAAGGTGAGCCCACAACTTTGCAATCTGGGTAATACACAGACTGCAGTGGAAGCAGCAGCAATCAGAAGAGTAACAAGACCCTGATGGTGTTCTCATTCACCATAACCACTATCCATACAAAAATAAATCAGCAACAAAAAGCTCCAGCTGTTTCTGTTGCCATCTTTAAGTTATGCCATCATAAGCTGCAAACAAAGACACATAATATCCACCGCTCTCCCTGTGACTTACACTTTTTCTTTACCTTTCCTTCCTTTCTTCTCTAAGCTGAGATCTACTTAGTTAAAAGCATACAGGTGCTAAGTATCATGCAGAGGAAAAATATTTCTGCATCATTCTTAACTCAGAAACCTCCCAGAAGTGCAAAGATGCCATGTACCCTATGACAGATTTTGATTTTTTTTTTTCTCTCTCGGATGATTTAGACTTTTTTTTTCCCCAACTGGTTGAAAAGCATAATAAATCTATTTATTTGCAAATTATGTGATGCGAGTCTGAAAGCAATCCTTGAAAAATCTCCTCCAAAATAAAACCATTCCAGCTCATCCCTGTATGTAACATCAGAGTTGCTGCACAATTACAGGGAACTACACTCTGCCAACACTGTTTAATTGAGAACCTCTCTTTTTCTGGCTCTGCTACCATTGGACAGCTCGTGTTCCCACTGCTTTGCCTCCATCTGTGCTAACAACAGAATCCTTTTTGATTAAAATGTTCATAAGTTATATTGTGAAAAATCACTTTAACTGTGCACTTCCTTCACTTTGAAATGATTTCCCCCCTTACGTACGCAAAATCTAAGCAACTGATACCTACACATCTATGCTACTTTATTTCAATGAGAGGGAAAGAATTTAGACCTTTTATTTAAAAAGTTTTTCAAGCAAGGAGAAACTTGAGCTCTGGCATAGGAAGAAATGCAAAAGACTAATAATCGCACATGGAGAAAAAAGGCATAACTTTCTTCAATAAAAAATAAATACTCTAAAATGAGAATCACTAAAAATCTGCTTAAATAAGACATTGAAACTACTATATTTCATGCAGATATATCAGAATATTTGGTTTTCCCACAAAGACAACTTTCTTTCATTTTGATTTTTAAGTAGGAAAAGTATAACATGTCAAGAATTCTTGTTTTCCTGGGTTCTCAGTGCAACTGACCCTTGGACTGTCATTTGATTTTGTAATGAAAATATACAGTCTTCAAAGCCACAATTAGCTATCTTTTGCAGGAGATAGAAATATTTATTTTGCCATAGCAAAGACCATAGAATTTGTTTCCTAATTAAAGGAGGAAGGATAAAAATGCAACATATTGAAGTAGGGATTAATAGGGAAATTACCAGAGGAAATTAAGATAAATTACTAATTAATTAGACTGTAATTAGGAGATAATTAAGTAAATTAAGGAATTTAGGATGTACATTATATGTTCTACCTAAACAATAGTTGTAGTTCAACATCTAATGTCATTAAACACTTCTGTAATTGTCAGTGCCCCATTTCAGTTTTTGAAGTATTTCAGTTTGTATTTTCAGGCGAACCTCAAGCCTAAAACACACCTTTATGTTAAAAAAGACTGGAATCAAATAAAAAGTTCAAGTGCTATGTTTCTTGAGAACTAGATGAAGTTTTGGCAATGATACACTTTCTGCACTGAAAACAAAACTGAGTCTGAGTCCTGGCTCGAAGTTCCTTTAGAAAGAGGAACAATTATTTTTTTTATCAGTCTTGCCAGGATGCAGAAAATACTAATACATAAGACAGAGATAAAGAAAAAAGCATCAGGATACCTGGCATTTTCAAAGACCAGATTGTGTTCACACTTGAATTGTGTTTTGGGGATAGACTCAGACTAGTCCTTCCTTTACCTGCCTTGCTTTACCTACTCATTTATTCAGGAAGGTTTACTTAACAGACTGACAGAAAGTGTGGTAGGCGGGTTTCAAAGGTACTGCAAAAATGGAAGAATTTTCTCTTTCTCACTAATGACTAAACATTTACTAATAAAATAAGTTGTTGTTTGTTTTGACTAGTCTCTAGAGTTCCACTGCCACTCAGATCTAACATTTACTTCGCATATGCATTATTTAGTACTACACAGTTCAATCCAGGTACAGTTAGAATAGGCATTATATACAGTTCAGAGCTCGTGTGTCTAAGCCAAACACTGTTTTATATCAAGTTCTTACCCTTTTGCAAAATATAGTCCTCTGGCCATGAAGTGGGAAAAAGTTCGTTTGTTACAACTGCAAGACATTTTACTTTAACTATTACAAAGCAATCCATTTTCCAACACTCTTAAACAGGATTCAAATTATTGGGCTTAAATTAGACCTTCTGTCTATTATTTCCATCTGATATGAATTCTTCTTAGAATGAAGCCACAGAGCTAAAGCCTGATTAAAAATGAAAAACGAGCACGCGCTGCTTTCTCTATGATAAAACACCTTTCTCTTCAATGAGTTTAAACTTGCAATTACATTTGAAGACTGATGTCAGATAACTGCTGAGCCTTCGTTCAGGCAGGAAGAAATATCTTCATATTCTATATGTATTGCATGGAGCTGTAAGGCCAGCATCATGAAAATGTCTCTGTTCCTGATGAAGTAGTTTATGGGATGTTTCTTGGCACAGTCCTTAGAAAGGAGTCCCCAGTCATTTTCACAAAGAAGTGAACACAATTGTTTTCCATTTGTTCTACATTTTTGTCTCCTCTCTTTCATCACAAATACATCAGAATATATAAACATACATAAATAAGTAATCTTTTGTTTACATGGTATTAATTATCTAGCTGGAAAGCACACTTGTCATACAAATCTATATAGGAGCTATGGGAGTCAGCCACTAGAACATGATCATCCTCTAAATAAATATAACTACACAGCAATAAACAGCAGCCACATGCAATAAAGTAGAATAGGAGGAGTAGAATAGTATGTTCAATTGTAAATCACTGCGCATGGAAATTTAGGCAGGCATAATACAATTACCCAAATGGAGGTCAAATGCAATTTCACAGGGTGAGTAGCAGCCTATGACCATGTATCTGTTTAATTTTTTTTAATTCCAGAATGACCCATTCATTATTTAACATTTGGAAGTATCTTTGATTTTTCATATGCTATTCTGATGAATGCTATTAATTCATTCAGTAGACAATTGCAATTTGCATAATCATTACGAGGAATATTTTACTTACAAAGTTTGGAGTTTTTTCATTCTGATCCCCACACTTGAACTAAAAAGGAAAGGACCCGAAGTGAACAGAGAATACTAATCATATTACTTAGCTGAAATCGCCTCAAAACATGATCTACCTTTATAACCTGGAATATAAAAGTTTGCTGGAGTGAAGCAGTAATATAAAATATAAGTAATAGTGATGACATTACATTTATTTTTCTATTTAAAAAATATATCTATAAGGAAAAAATCAGAAGGAATTATTGCTGATAAATGATCCATCATCTATTAAAAAAAATCAGCTTCAGGTTTTAGTCTTTAAATTTATACCAACAACCTCAGCAAGAGTTGTGCTTTGAGATTACTCTCAAGCTATGATCTCACAAAGATCTTGTTTAAGCCTTCCTTCATGCTTCGCTCTATTTCTTAATATTTGCTTGCTTCATTTTAATTTATTGATATTCAAAGTTTTATTTTTCTTCTTTCCCTTAAAGATTTTGACCCTGTAGTACAAGCAAGAACAAATCACTCAGGAAAACAGCCAGACTCTTTGAAAATGTGAAATTTCATCACTGTGTAGATTCAGAGCCAAAACTCCAGGCAGAGGTGCTGGCCTCCATTTTACCACTCAGACACTGCTGCTAACAAACCAACATTGAAAAAATTAGTTACATTGCTTCTCTGCTAGCTTTCAAAAACTTTTTTTTTTTTTTTTTTTAAACAAAGAAACATAGAGGAGCTATTGAACTGATTAGTCTCTCTTTCAAAGGTCTTATATTTATACCTGAATCATAGTACCCAAAGAGCATGCTCCACACAAGTAGTTTTCACTTGCAAAATGTAATGCTTATCATAGAAAATGACATAAATGGTTCACTACCTTAAAAACCTTTAGTACTATCCCATAAATACAGCATTTCATTAACAAGACACTAGGTTGGATCAATGTGAGCTCTTTCTGACAGTTCTGCTATATACCTGTCTCGTTTTGTTAGCTTAATGA